CCTCATCTGTGGTTTATTTTTTTGTTTATCTCTGAAGCCCTTTCTTTGCATTTAGACACAAATATTTACTTCGTTCAGCTCTAAAATGGATCGGTATAATAATAATATATAATATATAATTATATATAAACAATATATAATTAAATATATATAATTATATAATAAATAACTATAAAATTATATATCCAAATGCGAGAATATTCTTCAATCAGTATTTCTCCCTGATAAATAAATAGGAAGTGAAATCTCTTCATTTTTTTAATTGTTTCCTGGTGTCTTTACTTAAACTCATTCGGTCTGAGATTATTAGCATGCTGCTGTTTGTCTTACATAAACTCTACAGTAATGAAAGTTTCTGATTACAGATGTTTCTATGAATTATATTAGTGCAAATTTGACTTTGAATAACATTAGCTATTGAAATATAGTGAGATTTCATTTTAAATAGCTAAGGTTTACAAGTTCTTTTCTAGATTTCACATCTTATTTTTTTCTTGTCCATCACTAGATATAGCAAGAAAACAGTGTACAATTTAGTAAGGAAATGCTATTTAAGATATAATCAGCATTCTCAATATCTGTAATCACTGTAGTAACATAATGCATTTTGCTTCTGTTTTCTTCAGCGAATAGCTCTTTGGATCCTCCAGACTATCTCTTAGAAGCTATTGCCTGATTTGTTTTCAAAATATAAATCAATTTTAGCAACTAGCTTCTTTCCCTTTTTTTTGAACATCTCAGAAGATGACAGAATGGTTAAAGGTTGGAACGGACCTCGGGTTCAGCACCTCACTCAGACTGGTTGCCCAGGCCCATGTCCAGACAGCATTTGAATATCTCCAAGGAGGAGACTTTACATCCTCCCTAAGCTACCTTTGCCAGTGCTCCATAGTAAATAAGTGCTTTCTGATGGAACCTTCTTTGCTACAGTCTGTGCCCATTTTTCCTGTCAGCAGGCACAGAAAGAGCCTTTTGTTTTTCTTGCCCACTCCTTCAGGTATCTATAGATACTGATGAAATTCCCCTGTGCCTTCTATTCCCTATGTTGAATAGTCCCAGTACTCTCAGCTTTTCCTCACAAGAAAGATGCTCCAGTCCTGTAAATCACCTTTGCAGACCTCTGCCAGACTTTCTTCAGTAGCTCTATTATCTCTTTTGTACTGGAGAGATATGGAGCTACTTTCACAATATAGAATTTTACTGAACCTTTTAAGATATTTCAACCACAAGCTTAAAGTAAGAGTAAGACACATTAAGATCCCACTCCTCTTATTCTAATTAAGTAACATCAGATGGCAAAATTTTTGCATCTTAGCATAAGCTGATCCTAATACACAATAAAAGAATATGGCAGAGAAGCAGTTAAGTTTTTTCCAGCTTGAAGGGCATTCTAATAATAAAGACATCCAGCATAGTTACCTTACAGGAAACTAGCTTGTGCCAGACTACAATTTCTGAGACATTTTTACACTTCAGACATTCACCACTGATTGTTCCACAAGGGATTAAAAACTGGTTAGTAGGCTTACTACTGTAAACAGAACAATAAACAGCCATTTCCAAAAGTGGTGTTGAATTAGTCTATCTTCATGCAGCTTATATACAAGTCCACAGAGGGCTTCAGAACTCTTCACACTGCTAAGACTAATGAAATTAGTGTTATGCAATTTAGAGTAAAAAAAATCATTTCTGAAAATATCCATTTATTTTCCTATACTGAATTAGAAATGAAGAAAGCAAGAAGAGAGGAAGGAAAAGAAGGATAATACTCTTTTCATTCACTCATCATTTCTTTTTCCATTTTAGACTACTAGATTATTTTATCTGCTCTCAGTTGAATTATAATTAATAGCATTAATAAGGTGCTTAGCTACATTGAAACAAATTTAATATTATCCAGAGAATAATTCTCTAAGGCATGTCACATACAGTGACATTATAACTGAATGCCTTAAACACTGGATTCTGTTAAACACATATCAGTTTGCAAAAATAGTAAAAATACACAGACCTAAAGTTTATTCAAATACTTTGTATTTACTATTTTTGACATGGACTGTAATCATACTCTTCAGTGTTGGTTTAACAAGTCACAAACGTGAAAAAATCAATAGAGTATTTTACTTATGTTTTATATCTGTTTTTCACCTCCTAGCATGGAGATTGTCTTTTAATTGAATTATTGCCCAATTAGGTAATTTAATTTAAATAAATAAACAAATAAAAAGGGTGAATTGTCTTTCATTTAGGATTCTTAGTCAGAGTGGACTTCTCTGTCTTACTTTTAGAAAAGAAATTGTTCTTCCTCTTGCATATGACAGCTAGAGCTTTCTTTCTGACACTAATTGGTCTCAAATCAGGGACAGTATTTAATTTGCATTTCATGGCCCAATTTGATATAAATTTTCCTTTACTCTTATTTGACAACCGTAACACTGTTTCTGTTGTTCTCCTCCAGGTTTTTCTTCTTTTTTTTTTTTTTTTTCTTCGCTTTTTAGTCATCCATAAAGGATTGATATTTCTCAACACTCAACAAATTGTACACCGGAAATTTCTATTAGAAATGAATTGTAGTTGGTGATTGGCTTCCTGGAAAGTGTCAAGCATTTTTGATGATATACTATAATCATGTTTTCCATACATTCATTATGTATTTATTATGTTTATAATATTATATATATTATATTATGTTGTTATTTATGTAAAATTATTATATTATATTATAATAAATATTATATATTTATTATGTACTATCTTTAATTAAAAGATTGTGTTGCATATTGCTATATATGGCATAGTTTATTCTTATTTATTTTGCAAATTACATTCCTTTGTGCATAAATACTAATTTCTGTTTAACAAATAATAATACAACCCGTTGTAGAAAGCTAATAGTTTTCTTTTTTTCAGCTTTTCCAGACAATTTTGTTTAATTTTTCTACTAATGTCTTAAGAAGTACTCAAGGAATTCATGGTTACCAGCATCAGTAGTATAGCAAATAAATGTACTTTGTCTGATATAGTTGATTCATTAAGACTGGAATTTTCAGTGGAAACTAATGGAAATAGTGCTCTCATCAATTAAAAAAATAAATTTTTTTTAAAAAAAAGTCTATGTTTTTCCTTCAGTCTCTATTAGAATGTTAGACATAGCCTTCTTTCACCATATTAATAATAGAGGAACAAAATAGCAAAGAAACTAAACACATCTGCTGCCTCCCGGAGCCAATATGCAATCTGTCCAAAGAGAGGAGTCTTATAAGACATATAACACACCAAATAGCCAAATCCTCAGCTGAGACAAAATTTGGCATTTGTACACTAGTTTAAATTAGCCAAGAACCTGTTTCCTAATTGGTCTAGCCCTACTAGTTTTGATGCTCCTATAATAAAGGCCAATACTAGAAGAAACTCACGTTTCTCTTCTCTTGAGTTTTTCCAAAATTCCTATGCTATCACTACTACATTTTTATATCTGATTTATCTCAATCATTCCAAGTCACATTTTGGTGTCCTGCAGTTTGAAACAGTTTGTGTGACACATCTCTTAAAAGCCTGTGGTTATTCTGACTTTCAATCTGCTATCACCTCTGCATCATTAGATAGTCTGAAGCAGGAGCTGCCTAGGTTTCCAGCGTGTTTAAACTCCAGAGCCACTCTCCTCAAGGGGGGAGCAAAACCCAAAGACAGCAAATGATCAATTGGGCTAGAACATCCTTGCTAACATGGAATAGAAAAAGAAATAGAAAAATCAAACCCAGGCAGTGAAACAAGCTTACCACAAAGACAATGCAAACCGAAATGACAGGACTCATGAATACCCCTATGCAGTGCAAACTCTTGATTTACTAAATACAGGTTGGCATTGATGGAAGTGATAAAGATTCAGGATGTAATACATATTGAATTAAATCCTATTTCTCTTTACAAAATCAGACATACATAAGAGCTTTTTATTCTACTTAGTCCATTTACCCCTCATACTGAAAGTCAGTCCTTAACAAATGCATGCAGTTTCTCCCAAATAAGGTTTTTCCCAAATTGTTTATTTCTGCAAGTATTGTACTAAATAAACTACAAATCATTAAATATACCTTGTTTTTGGTCCTCTAATTCTGCAACTAGAATTCTTGATGCAAAAGATGCAGAAGAATATACACAAGGTTTATCCACACATGCTTGCATAATTTAAAAATACGAGGGCTACTCCAAAACCAGTGCCTCTTAATTTATTGTGTTGGTCTACATCAGAGGCAGATGGTGGCATGGCAGTAATGGTTAAACCTTCCCACCAACATTCCACTTTTTGCTGCTGTGTGATAGATGGCATCAGAGGGACGGTCTGACAAAATGGCATTTGACATGGAAGTGCATGTAAAGCAAAGCGGGTGGAATTTAATTCTTCCATGCAGAAAAAATGGCATCCACTGACATCAATCAACACTTGCTGGACATTTATGGACACCAAATAGTGAATGTGAGCACAATGAGGAGAAGGGTGGTGCATTTCAGGAGTGGTTACAGCTACATGAAAGATTAGCCAACTTCCAGATGGCCATGCAGATTTTTATAAGCATGGCATGCAGGCTCTTGTTCGTCACTGGTAAAAATGCATAGCTAATGGTGGCTTATAGATGTGAATTTGCTCTATCAAGTAGAGTTATTTTACTCTTGGTATCTGTTGTAGCTTCCATGGAAATAAATAGGAGGCATTACCTTCAGAGCACTCTACATCCACGTGCACCAAAGCTGAACTCGTGAACAAGGAAACACCATTTTCATGAAGAAAGTCCACAATGATTTACCGTTATAGTCAAAGAAGAGAGTAAGTATTTGTAAGACATAACAAATTTGATCACAGAGTAGTTATTATATTTTATCTATCTTTTTACCCCTAACTATTAGGGTCAATTATGTGCAACATACTACAGATATCTACATTGCAGAATTCTATGTTTGATGGACATGCCTTCACTGATACTAAACTAAGATCAACATACCTACACTCCAATCCATTTCTTCCACAGCATCTCCATATAATCCATGCCTGCTTTTTCCTCTGAACATTTTTGAAGCATATAGAGCAGTATGGACATGAAGATAAGACAGGACAAGAAGAAATGGTGCATTATGGTTCCTGGGGAAAAAGAAAAACAAAACAAATAACTACAATCATAAAAAACTTAGATTTAGTCTATTTTATTAAAAAATTTTGAAGCAGAATTGTTTTGGCAGTGGAGCTCAAAAAAACCCAAAATGAATACAAAGTAGGATAAAGTATCTGATTACAAGGTAAATCCTGAACACACAACAAACACAAAGAAAGTAAAAAATTTCAACTAAGTGCACACTGAATTGAATGCATTAAAATAAATAAATAAATAAACGAAATTAATCAATTACTGTTTGCTATCTCTGTAGAAAGAGATTTTATTTAAAGCCAGGAATCTAGCAGATTCTGGCTACAAGAATCTATTAGTTTTAGAAGTATATGTTTAAGAGCCCTAATGCAACTGCTGTCCAGAAACATACCCATTTAGTACAATATGCATATGTATATACAGTCACTTTCTTCAACAAGGTCGTATGGAAGGTAATAAACTAGTTAGACTATTGTAAGAACCTGGGCCAATACCATAATATCAGACTGTATCAAACCAAATATACTAGCACTTTCTCCTCTATCCAGACTAAGGTTTATGACAAAATCTTCTCCTGTTATTTAATGAGGTATTTTTATGCATATGATTAGCACGTAACAATAGAAATACATTGCATTTTTATAAGCTGCATCAAGGCATAAATATTTTTAAAATGCATATTAATACAAAGGAATTGTTCTCCTCTCACTGTAATAAAGTCTCTATTGTTTTAATTCTACTTGAACTGAGATGAAGGAGTGCAATAAACAGACTGTAAATTTTGCTGTTCATGTGATACGTCAACATGATATTTACGATCAGTTCCAGCAGGCTGTGAAAGAAAAGCTCAAATAAGAACATTTCTTTATGCATTATTTATAGAACTTTACTTTAAAGTGTGCAGTACCAGCTGAATTTACTACTATACGCTGTAACAACATTTGTAATGCATTACACATACTGTAAATTTCAGTTGAATCACAAGAGCACTACCCAGAGAACTTGTCTGAATCTCACCTTAAGACACTCAGCTAATTATAGAGCACTTTTGGGGTTATTTACTGTATTTTCCCTTGTTACTTCTCTGGTGGATTATATATATGATTCATGCTAACATCAAAGGAAAACTAGATAGTTCCTCATGCAGTTAGTTCATCGATCATTTAAAGGGATGGAAGAACAATCCAGATGTGCACATGCAAATTATTCATTTAAAAAATATGTATTCTAATCTATCAACAAACTTCATAAAAGAGATTCATATGACATCAATATTTTGATCGATATTTTGAAGGAAAATTAAATATAGTATGTTTTGATGTATTTATCTTCTCTCATGGATTGGATTTGTTCTGGCAGAAGTTACATGGTTAAAACTTTCTTATTGACACAGGCAGCAATGAATAAACACAAAAAGGTAAAATTTTACCTAGATTATTCATTGGATAACTGTTTCTGGCTGGGAAGTTTTATCCATAAATATATCTCCTTTTTTAAAAAGAGGTCAAGTAATCACAGAATAAATAGAGTATTTATCATGTTGAAAAGGAATATTTGAATTCCCTTCAGATAACTTTTCATATATATCCTTTATGATCTCAGTACTGATAAATGTATTATAGAGATTCCCAAAAATAAAAATATAATATTTCTCATAAAATATACATTTACCATGAAGTTTGTATCGATTGTTATTTGGTAGGTCATATGTGTGGGAAATTTTCATTATTGTAGCAAAAATAATAAAGGAGGCTTCTGAGTCAATTAAAAAGACTGAAAATGTCAGCATTTCAAATAAAAAAGATGTACATGTACAAATTTAATGTTTTGTTTATTATGTGTCTTAACCTAACACTTACCCTTCATTAAAGAACATTTCTGCAAGGCAGTTGTTTCGTTGCTTTTTACAATCTCAATTCTTTTACTGCATCTTAATCTTTAGCTTTTTCCTAAGTCACAGTTCACTGAATTGAGTGCAATACATAAATTTTAGGGTGGAATACCACAAAAAAATACACTTTTTACTTGTAATAGCGCAGGCATGATTTACTTTTCATGCAAACTGTCTTGTTCTGATTTTACAGATTGTGCATACTCGTAAATGTATATGTGTATTGCTAAAGTAAGTAATTTTCAAGATACAGCAATTCTTTTCTTTAACGGAACTGATATAAAGATCATACTTTCATAAAAGGCATCCAATCAATGTCTAACATACAGGGGCACTAAATCATTCTCTCCTTTGCAACCCAAATTGACAGGTTCTGATTGACAGCTCACTGTCAGCTGGAGAAGTGTCTCACCTATTAATATCCTATAAAAGATCACAGGCAGCTATTTATCTCCTGCCAAAACTCTTTCAGGAGAATTATAAAAGACTACTTTTAATATGACCTTGAAATGGAATGACAATATCAGCTAGTAGGTAGGAGAGATATCTGACAATAACAGCTTCATTCTCCTGAATCACTTCAGTAAACAGCTTCTTAAAAGATGTATCATCACTATCTTTTACACACTTCAGACACAGGGAACTTCAGCTTCTAAAGATCTGAGGTTCACTTACCCAAATCTAGCAAGGAATTTTTATCAAAACACAAATCACATTCTTTTCAATCTACTGAATAGCAAGATAAATTACATGGTTCCAACTTATGACATTCCTTAGAATACACGTACCTGACATTGAAAACATCTAAATGCATCACACTGCTGGTAATACCACTGCACTATATAGTATTAAATTCTGCTTATTTACTGTGAAGAGTCTTCGTGTCATTCAAGTATTTAATTCAGGCTTGAGCTATTAAAAGGACAGCTTTAATATGAAGTCACCCCTCACGTAACAGGTCCTTAACTCTGTTGTCATTCTTGTTATTTCATTTCAAGTATTTGCTGAACTAAAAGCTCCCTGGGTACTTCTGTTTGTCTTCGTAAGCACTGATGTTCATCCAAAACCACTGTGGCAGAGCAATAGGCAAGGTTTGGTATTTGTAGGCCTGTGGCTGTCAAATCAGAGGGACATTTTCTGCATGATTTAATTCTGGACACTAAGTGGGAACATGACATGACAGGGCTTAGTTTTACTTGCCCTCAATAAACTCTATATTAATCTTTAATACGATGAACAAGTACTACCTGTCTGAACAAAAAACTTCTGCTAATGTAAAATTGTCCTCAATTTCCATCCTAAAGTACTAAATTTTTAAGCTACAGATTCTATAGTGGTAAAAGTATTCACAGCAGCTATGAAAGTAGACATACCTACCTTTGCCTGAAAATCATACGATGAATGGCTTTGGGTTGGAAGAGACCTTAAAGTTCATCCAGTTTCACGCCCCCTGCTATGGGTAGGGTTGCCACCCAGATCAGGCTGCTCAGTTCCCCATCTAACCTGGCCTTGAACACCTCTAGGGATGGGGCATTCATATTTTCTTTGGGCAGCTAGTGCCCTTGCCTCACCACCCTCTGAGTAAAATCATCCCTCTGAACAGCTCATCTAAATTTCATCTTTTTCTGTTTAAAACCATTCTCCTTTGTCCTAAAACTATCAGACCATGTAAAAAGTCGCTTTCCACCTTGTTTATAAGCTCCTTTTAAGAACTGGAAGGTCACAGTGAAGTCTCCCCAGAGCTTTCTGATCTCCAGGCTGAACAAGCTCAGGTCCCTCAGCCCTTCTTCAAAGGAGAAGTTCTCCAGATCTCTGACAATCTTCATTGCACTCCTCAGGAAACACTTCAACAGTTCCATGTCTTTCTTGTGCTTCATGTCTATTGAGCTAGACAAACACTGTGCTTTATTAAAATCTTGATTTCGGTACAACATGCCAACTGCCTAATATTAACACCTAGTGACACATGGAAAAATTCCAAACAAGTCTGCTAGAGTAGATGAAAATAAATCTAGATACGTTACAGTCTTTCAAGCACTGAAATAGAATAGATAAGTAGTTTTTAAAAAATAATAATAACTACTATCACAAATTTTGAACATTATGGCTATGAAATTTATGACTGGAAAAAAAAACCTGCATGAAAATTTCTGAATATCATCTTTACTATTAAAACAAAATACCACCTTCCCCTTAAAAACGTTATTAATTGTCATCAGCTATCTGAATTTGTTAGGAGAGAGATTCTGTAACATGGAGTGATACTTCTGTCTTACTGGTTTCTAAGATATTTAAAAAAGGTCTGGCATTTTCTAATTTGGATTGTCTGTGCCACTGGTTATCTATTAAAGGATATGCTGAAAAGACATGAGTGACAACCACACTGAACTTAAAATGAAATAATTAGCATCCATTTGACTTTCAGATATGCTGTAATGTCTAGAGAGTATTTTGATATGTTTAAAATATGTACATGCACTTGCTCTTGGGGAAAAGTAAAATTAGAATTAACATACAGTGAGTTGACCTGCCCACTTACAATTACAGTGAGCAATTAAATTTATATTTGTTTGCATACATCAGATCTTTCATATGAAATTGTACATATTCTTCTGAAGTGTTATTTCCAAGTTCAATATTGTATTTACTCTTTCTCTGTACCTATGAGCAAATAAAAAGAGTAATAAACATATACAAGACCAAGGAAGAAAAAATACTGTCACCCTTCCAAAAAACAGAGTGAAGAAGAGTGAGCATAACAATGCATAGCTATTCTGTGAGCAAATTCTAAGGATTGAAAAATATCAAAACTGATGAGTAGATATAGATAGATAGATAGATAGACAGATAGATAGATAGAAAGAAGTCATAAAGTTGACAGTATGATAGACATAATTAGAAAAGAGAATAATTTCAAGAAAATCCACTGCCTGAACTCTGAAGAGCTTACAAAAACAGGTAATAGGTATAATAACCTTACATAGATAAAATATCTATTTTATGTTATGTGTTGTCTTTTTTATGCACATAACTACATATATATATATACACACATACAAAATTGCATGCGTACATGTCTGCTGTTAAAACCCTTTTGTTTCTTGATTGCCATTCCACTACAAATGGCCAAAGTCAGTAGATAAGTTATAAAAGCAATGGTCTGTGGATACATTGACATGATGTCAGAGCTAGTGTGTCAAAGCAAATATTGATTTTGTTGCTCACAATATTATATTGGGCAGATCAGTTCAGTGTACATACTCACACTTTTCCCCAGGAGCAAGTATTATGGCCATATACTTACATATGAAATCACAACAGGGCACAATTAAGATTGCTTGGGTGCTCTAATGGCTTCTCAACACCCTAATCTGTTTGGATATATTTTTTTAATTTAGCTTTGACTCTGTGTCTGGTGTCTGGTTTATAATTCTCAATACAATTGCAGAATTCCTGTAATGAAGTTTATTGTAAATTACTAATATATGCTATTAACCTTCACTTCAATTTTAAATAACTGTTGTCCAGAAATGACTCTGAGAATGGAGGCCAAGTGCTAGCTGATGAAAAGCCTCAACCTCCAGCTGAGTCAACAGAGCTGTGCTGACACAGACCATATTTTGTTTAGCCAGCTTTAAACTTTGACTAAGTTATGCTTTGTGTGCATTATGAGAATGAATAAATAGTGTTACCACTTTTTTAGCATTCATTCTCAATCCAGAATTTACCTGTTTTGCATCTATCATTTTACTGACAATATGTTGAAAGCAATGTATAATTCAGAGATCTTCAAAACACTGTGAATTACTACAGCAAATTAATAGACTTATACAAAAAGGCAGAATCTCCCTACAAATATATACAAAAAGAGACATTTTAAACCACCAAAACCTTGGTCACTAACTCTCAAAAACTTCCACAGGTGTGTACATGTGTTCTTGCTTGCATTTATAATAAACAAGTATTACACTGTTAAACTAATTAGAATCCAAATGAGAAAATATATTTATCTATCACCCTTAACCAGAGGAAATAATGATGCTTTAGTTTAATTTTGTTTACTCATGAGAGTTAAAGAAATCTGATTTAAAAGATGTTTTCTTTTTGGCGTTGTGAGTAGAGCTAGCCAAATCAAATATTTATAATGAATGAAATGACAGAAAAATTGCAGTAGATAAAGACTTTAGATAGGTATTTTTTTTGCTAGCAATATTGCTGACTACCATGTCCCGTCATTAAGTTCATAAAAATTACCCATTGATTCTTTGGTTTAAGTTTGCATTCAGCAATGATATCATGTGAATGTATTCATAGTTACTACGGGGTGCAGTTTTCATCATTTAATGGATGCACCAAAACAATGATGAGGAGCAGTTTCTCATTCCAGAAAACTTATAAAGTACAACTCCACATTTTGCTTTCATACAACTAAGTCACATTACAAAATGCTTTTCATATTTTTGGTTACCTGAAATTCCGAATAAAGAAAGTCCTAAAAAGTGTTAGAAGTTTAATATATATATTTAAACATTTTAATTCTGAAATAAATAAACATAAAAAGTTTGTAGTTTTTATAGAGAAATTAATGACATACTGTTGGGAAAAAAAAAAAAAAAAGATTAAGACAAAGTCGAAAGTGATGGCTTTCCTCTACACATGCATACACTTTGTTGTAAAACTGTCACTTGACAGTGATTAACTTCAGTCATGCTTTAAAGAAAAAAATGATAATCTACTTTTTAGGAAGCAATGTCATTGTAAATTGCCATCATTAACTCAAACCACAGCTGGAAACCTACCTTTCTATAAACCGTACAGCTTCTGTTGTCAGCCTCTGAGTAAGATTCTCATAGGATAATGGCTGCTGGATTATCTGATGGTCCCTCATTAAAAAGCAGTTCAGGTGTCGGAAATGATAAAAGAAAAAAATCAAAACTGCAAGTGAAATACAGGTTATTAACAGACAGATGCCTAGTGCTTGGAAAGGTACTTTGAAGAAGCCAATATAATGCACTACTGCCAATGAGACCACGGTGACTCCAAGGATTTGGATTAGGATGACAAGGTACCTCTGAACCCCTTTTAAAAACACGCTGCCTTGGCCAGGCTTGCAGTCTCTAAGGTTGGTCACAGTAAGCCCATAAAAGTAATCAAATCCATGACTGAGGGGGTGGTGACAGAAGTCATTGTTGCTTTCACAGTTCATCCCAAGATGCCACTTTCCTACAAAGAGAGGAGAACAGTAAGTACTTTTGTAGTTAAATAATCAAACTTACATTGTGAGCTATTTCCAAATATGAAACTGTCACTACCTGATACTGCCCCAGCATTTATTGTGTGGATCCCTATTTCCTATATAACTCTCTTTACACATTCATCAAATAATTTGTTTCATATCTGTTCCTCTTTTTAGCTGGAATTAGTTTGGTACTGCTCTTGAAGGAGACCATTAAATTCTGAGTGGGCCAGCAGGTCACTGAAGAGCAGAAGAGCTCTAACACATATTCAGCTTTGAAAATGAAGCCTTTGTGCATGTGTAGTTAAGTCATAGAATAAAAATAACACTGGTTTGTAGTGGCTGCTGCTTTCCGAGAAAGAAAGAATGCAGAGTTACTTAATACCTTATCTGGCAAATCACCCATATTTGACTACTTAAAGAAAATAGAAAAAGACAGTAGCAGAAAATAAAAATAATGAAATTACTAAAGCATTTGTTATTTAAATAATTACCAATTCTCTGAAATTGCATTATCCCTCACTATATATATATATTTTATATGGATATATGAAAAGTAACTCATAATTAGCAAATTGCTATAAAATACTACAGCTCACATCAGTTTGTTTGAGTAGGAGATTATTCTAATTCTGCAGTAAAGTTGGACACAGACACAAAGAAATAGTGGAAATAATGAATCTGATTTGCATTATAGTGATATAATCTATTTTGTGCTGATTAAAGTAAGTATTTAGATAATTCTATGACTCGAGGATAACACGTTATCATATTCTTTTGCATTGCTTAGCACAATGGATCCAACTGTTTGGTAGCTTTTATTTAAATTCCAATGCAAAATGAAGAAAACTTAAATAAGCCTCTAACCATACATTAGCATTAGAGCAATGCTCTTTGGTGTCACCAACAAAATGTTGAATATTTGACAAAACTTTCAGTGTCACCTTTGATAAAATAAATGGCAATTTATATTGCTGGGCCAAATCTAGCTCAAACAAATTTGAAATATTTTGTTGTAAACATTTGTGGGTACGCTTAGTAGAAAATACATAAAAGGAATAATGCATACATAGACATCTCCCCTTTCTCTTACCACCTCAGCAAAAGACATTACATATCTGCAAGAAAGAATCCTGATTGCAGGCAGAGCATCTCCCACGTTTGGCAGACATGAATGAGGGGAATGCAGTATGAAAGAGCACGAAGATGAGGATCAGTTCTGATATTTTGAAACAATACATAGCAAGCAGGTTTAGTGTCATTACTTCTTCATAAATAGCTAAACTATGGTATGAAATTGGAATGACATTTGTTGAAGTGAAGGAAAATACCATAGTAATCTTTAGTCTAATTGAATGTTCTAAATCTCCTACATACCTAGATGATCTTTGATTAGAAATACTTCTGTGTATTAGAGAAGCAGTTAGAAATGCATTTTCAGGTATGCTTAACATGGCAGTGAAATGGAAGCCTTCTACAACTTTCTTGCATCACATCAAGATTTTTACCACTTTTTATTGTGATAGGCTTCTACATCTAGCAGACGTACTGATGCACTGTTTTCCATGGACAGAATGGCTATAGTATCTCCTTTCACTTGACCCAGCAAACATTGTGACCAAAATCAGAAAAGTTTTACTGAATTTTCAGACAGTAGAAATGGTACAATAAAGGATTATCAAAGACTACAAGTCTAAATTTCATTGCCAGTGACCAAAGGCATAGACTTTTGAAAATAAATGTTTCAATTTTTTCTCTCTGAGAAATAATTTTCAAGCCCAATATGTAGCAAATTCACCATCAAACCATCCTCATAAAGCCAGATAACTGAAATAAATATACAAGCTTATAATCATGAATATACAATAATCTTAAAGTTTAATTTTTTTAATTTCCTGCTTACATTTGTTAAACTGAAAACATCTATAAACAGATGTAAAAAATATAAAGAACTCAAATAAATCATATATACTTCAAGGTGATTTATTATGATAAATAAATACAATTGTTTAAACTGTGGCAATAAAACTAGACATTGCAAACCAGAAGAGAAGAATCTTGCAATAAAACATTAAGGACAGTGTAAAACTTACCAGCAGTTTTCTAGCAAGCTCAACAAATTCTTCTACAACCAAGATGAACTTGGGCTTTAGAAAATATTTTTTTGAAGCAACCCATTTAAGAGCTGACTAGCAGAGGAGAAGGATCTCCAGAAAGAGATGCTTCCTTTGGAGTTTTACAGTGAGCCCAGGACAAGGATAAGCACTCTATTTTCTTTTTGGTATAATAACCTGCTTAGCCAAACTGTCTTGTTTATTTCATAATTATGACACCTGTATATTCATTGATTGTACAGCACTGAATAATAGTCGTAAGGGAAAGCTAATGTTTAGTAAAGTGTAGTTGAGTAGAGCTGTAGGAAAAACAATATCAACGTATTTATAGCAGTAGCTAAAACAATACTGATCTACCTGAAATGCATGTTTTTAGGTTATAAGTAACTATTTCCCACAAAATATCAACTGTTCTTGCTACTACTTACAATCCTTAACTGGTGAAATATTAGAGATTCAATGTATCTAAGTTTTTTAAGGAAAAACTTAGTTTCATTGCAGATCTTCTGAATTAGTCTCCGCCTGCCGTTTCTCTAGAAGGTCACCTTCTTTGTGCCACAGGGGAAAAGAAACGAGATAAAAAAGTGTATGCATAACAGCTAAAATATATTCCAAGATGTATCAAGCAAGAGGAAGCACATATTCAGAACACAGACACACACGCATGCACACACACACAAAAAAAAGCATTTAGGGAGAAAATGTCCTTAGAGAATAAAGGGGAGAGTAGCTTGGTGGGAGGAAAAAAAAAAAAAAAAAGTATTGGTACTGGTCTAAGGAACAGAAAAGCTTCCAACTATCCTTATGCCAACCCATCCCAAGAGCAGAATTTGGTCATTAATTGTTTGGGAATTGTGAGTTATTGAACCAAGCAAAGATTCCCTGGTCTAGAACGGTATGATGTGATAAGAATACCAGCAGAGACAGAAAATAGTGTCTGTCTACCTAGTTTTCAAATCTACATAATTTTTCTCTCTGTCATTTACATATACTTATCCTCAATTTTAACACTCTTCTTGATTTTTTTGGAAGCCTTCATTATACACTAAGGGTATGGTAATATTACATCTTATGGTTTCATAGCTATCATTCAGGTTGCTTGGAAGAATTGTTCAGTAAGCTTCATGGAGATAACTTCTGGAAATGTAAGAGGCAAGCTGTCATGTTACAGCGAAACTAGTTAAAAAAAGAACATTAACTAGGTCAACTCCAAAAAAAAATGCTTTGCGTTACAGTGCTTGTCACAAACATAAAAATGATTTTTTTGCAGTATTCTTTAATTGAATATGGAGTTAACTCCAATATGAATATGACAAATTATTAATGGATTTTTCCTCCAGCGTTCAAATATACCTGTGCTAAATATATTTATGTTAGGGCTTCTTGTTATTCTGTTTTTGGTCTGGCAGAACATGAAGGTATTTTATACTTTCTATAACTGACATACAGATAAGGGGGACTCTTTAAGTCAGGGACATCGGTACTGAACGATCTATGTTATACAGATATTTATAAAAAGGTTGTATGAATTACTAGCCTTGCTAAGGTCAGATTTTTAAACAAGAAATAATTCCCAAATTATAAGCTTCTGTTACATTTTAAAGTGAAATTGGATGCATTCATCTTCCAAAAGAATGTAGCAACACTGGTACATGATGTTCTCCAAACAACCATTTCCTTGAAATACTAGTGAAGAAAAGTACAGTGTGTAGCATTAGTAGTATTTCATAGAAATAAGCTAAACTGTAATCAATGTAGAAAAAATCAATGGCAAAACTAGAAAAAAAAAACAAAAAAAAAAAACACTTCACATTATTTAAAGCGAACTTTTGTGATATTAATTCCAATTCTGTTTAATGGGAATTTAGTGGGATTCCTTTTACCCATCAATACATATTTGTTCATCACTGGATATTATGCTTCATTTAGTTGTTTGAACATTCTGTGAAATACAAGAGAAACATTGTTTTTTTTTCACTAAACATCTACTATATCTTGAGATTACCTATAAATGAGTAAGAAGAAAATACAGACAGCCCAACTAGAACACTCTTTTATGAATATCCAAAAACTGGTGAAATGAAATGGAACACACCTCTGTGATGACTTTTGTACTCTGGAATCCTTCATTGTCTCTACTTGTATTGAAATATAGTTTATTTATACCAAAAGCTTTTCAAGACTGATTGATTTTCAGTTTATTCACCATGTTAATTTTTGTGTATTGCAAATGAAACTGCAATTGTACAAGAAAATTAGACATACTTACATGATTTGTGTTTCACATATGCATGGGAATGTGCTCAGCTTTTTGTTGGAAAAAAAATCATTATCATGCTGTGAAGACTCTTAATACAAACCCCTAATAATCTACATACAAAACTAAGGTTCTTTTATTCAAAAGAATGAAAAAAATACTACATACTTATGCAATCTTACCTATTAGAGCTGTTGCATAACCTCTTTGCTTCAGGAGTTTGGAAAATGTTATTTCTTCAGAAGGAAGTCCACCAGAAGAAGCAGAAAATAGGAAGACACCAACTCGTGAAAAAGCAGCCATTCCTGAATACAGTGAGAATGAATGAGACTTAGATAACACAGTGAAACAGTTTTCATTCATTATTTCTGAACTTCTTCTTGAACTTCTGATTTTTTTTCTTGAAGTAGTATCATATAAATGACATATTACCAGCAGTCATTATGAAACACAAGTGGCAGATACTGTCATCTGTTGTCATCTGTTCAGCTGACTTTTTTCCTGTATTTTTACCAGAAAATGGTAAGTGGAGACAATGGAAATTCTGTTGCTGTGAACGTGGGGTCAGCCATCACACAAAGAGCTGCAAGACCTGTGAGTATTCTAAGATATAACATAACTTGAAGAAGTTGAGCTTGCATAATTTATTTTTCTTGAACATGGGGAAGGAATGGAGTTGAGGACGCTTTCCAAGTTCTTCTCCCAAATCTTCCACTTTCCTTATACATAGTTTTCTTCATGACTTTAAGGTAATATGAAAGAAGGCAGTAAATGCAGGGCAATTTTTCAGCATAAATATCATTAGGTCAAAAAAGAGCAAGAGAGCCTGACTTTAGCAACAGTGTCTAGAGCACTCAGTTTTGGTGGGAGAAAATCAGTGCCCCAATAGCCTGAACACACATGACTGACTTCCAGCCTGAGAGTATCAAAGCAACATCAGTCATCAGCTAGTAAGACAACATCTAAATAAGTCACAGTAATCTCTATGCACCGAGAGTCTGAAAAAAACACTAACTTGAGTTTATAAGCTACTCTCAGAATGATGAACTAGAGAGCTCAGGTTCATTAAAATTAGATCACTAGGATTCCAGATGAGAGTTGGCTCAGAGTACAGACAGACAGAACACAGGATATCTATGCAAATCTGTGCAGATGTATCTTCAGGAAGTTTGAATTATGCAACTTGGATGATTGCAGTGCCAAAATTACATGACTGATCTAGACAACCAGAATCTTCCCTCAGGTATTCATTGTGGTTAGAAGAGAAAAAGGCTTGTTAGACCAGTTTATTAAAGTGATCTCTGTCTTCCAAATGCTGACTTCAGATTTTCACCTTGCACAGCAACATCAGTTTTAGTGATCGATGGTTTAGGCAGTTTTAGTTGTCTATACACATCTGTATTTCATTTCAAGGTGCATTTTGGTCTCTCTTAACTGAAATCCATATAATTCCTTTAAGTTATCAGAAACAAATTATAAAACTATGATTATTTTTTTGTCAGTATCTTTCTCTGAGTTTGTGTCTAATCAAATAATATATTTTGAAATATAAAACTCCTAGAGATGCAGAGAAAAATTACTTTTTCAAAACTGTGATTCTAGCTTTTTCTATAACAATTTTCTACTAATTCTTTACTAGTATTCCAGAGTAGTCTATATTTAACAATTTCATAATTTTGTTAAGACAGAGTTCAATTTTTGCATGCACATGGAAGTTATTAGGTGTAACTGAGAACAGGCCATTTAAGAACAAAAATCAGTTCAAATGCTAATTTTTCTGAAGAACAAGGTCTATAATGGAAACTGACCTCTGGCTTTACCTACAGTAAATATTAATAGCAATATAACTGTAATAGGTATATAAAATTTTCCTTTGCAGCTGAATGTAATGGAAATTTAGCAAGTTACATTAGCTGGCACTTTTGCAGAAGCTTGTTACATGATTTGAATGAACATGAATGTATCAAGTAGGCTCCAGAGTCTTGCTTTGCTTTCATTCCCAGAAGCAAGGACAGGATGTTTTATCACTAATGAACAAGTGATCTGATTAATGTATAATGATTCCTGCTAAAAATTATCTTGAGAGAATGTTAAAATTGCATGCCTAAGCACAGAGGAGATCAGTCTCAGCACACTAAAATAAACAGGTTCTCAGATTGTCTTTAGATTTGAAATAAGAAAAGTTATATGCATTCATAGGATACCTAACACTGTGTATGGCAAGATATGAAAGAAAAGATATGAAACAACTGAAGAGGTGAACAGCTTACAGTTTTGGACAGTGGAGGAAGTCGAAGTTTGGCTGCTCCTGCCATTAAACAACCATATTTCAATCTTTTCTCAGTGTTTTTAAAAATATTTAACTCAATAAAAAGCTTTATATTGTGTGAACTCTTTGGCAGTGAGAAAATCTACCATCTACAGAAGGTTTCAAATGTTGCCCAACTCTTCAAAGCTTGATTAGACACTGAAACGAGTACCTAACCTGGTAAACACATGAGGAAAAAGGCAGAGCAAAAATGCACAGTTTACTGCAAATAAAATAATATATATATAAATGAAATATTTGAATTTTACCTGATCTGATAGGGTATCTCCCTGTCAGGAAAGCTGCCCTGCTTGGAGTACATAGTGGTGATGCAGCTAAATGCTGAGTAAGTGTCACTCCTTCTTTTGCTAGCCTGTCAATATTAGGTGTTCTTAAAAAAAAATAATAATAATAATAATTAAAAAATAGAAAAGAGTATACAGATAAGATTATTTAAAAATGAGCATGGTGAGATTAAGATTTTGTATTAGACTCCATGCTATTAATGTTCACAGTTTGACTCTAATGTTAGCTACAGGAGCTAACATCCAACCTTCCATATCTGCTTGAGAACCTTGTCATCATGCAGACAAAAGTTGGCTGCTACAGGAGTAAAGCCTGTGCCTTCAGTTCTACAGCGAGAATACTAGAAATGAGAACCGGCCACGAGCTACTGTGTGTTGTGGTACATCACTAACCTACAAGATTAATGACTATAACCTCAAGAAACAGTAATCCTTCCATATAAAAGTTCAAATTTAGTCAGAAATATTAATTTTCCAATAGATTTTTTGCTATCTGCAGCATCATATATGATGACATCATCTATGATAACAAGAAATTTTTTCATACTCCAGAGATGAAATTCTGAATTGTCATAACACAGAATACACATATTTGTGCTGTTCTGGTTCTCAGGAATGACAAATATGACAGGAATGGCCCAGCAGGCACTAAGGTGCAGCAGGAGGGCAGGAGGTGCTCCAAGATGGAGCAGCAGTTCCCTGCAGCCCAGAAGAGGGGTAGTGGTGGGGCAGGAGGGCTGTGGGAGCTGCCACACATAGGGACTGTGAGGGGCAGTGCCTCAAGGGTTCCTCAATACACAGCTGTGTTGGGGCAGTGCTGGGAGGGCTGCAGCCCGTGGGAAGCCTATATGGGATCAGTTTGGGAAGGACAACATTTTCTAATCTGTTAGTAGTTGGAAAAAAATAGATTAATTTATTTTGCACTGAGTCTGTTATGCCTGTGATGGTATTTGGTGAATGACCTCCATCTCCTTATCTCAGTCCATGAACAGTGCAGTGCAGTGCAGAGTAGCCCATCACAGTTGTTTGCTCAATTCTCTGTTTATGTTTCAACTTTTTGTTTGGATAAATACATTAGCTAATGATGTAATGAATATAAGGTTGAATATTCTATTCTACAGAAAGGTTATTACTTTTTCAACATATAAAAAACATAATACAACCTGTTTTTTTTTGTTGTTGTTGTTTTCATTCATTTTTAATTGATAAATTCATAGAAAAGGCTAAACACAAAGCTATGACTCCCCCAGATATATAATTGTACCTTAAAGTTTTGTTCCCATAACATCCCAGGTCTCCAATACCAAGATCATCAGCTATCAGTAAAACGACATTGGGATTTGAAACACTGTAGGTATTGACATTATTTATGGCACACTGCAAAATCATTAAAAATAAAAGAAGTCCCATCTTCTTCCTGGTATATAAGAACAAGAGAAAAGGGTAAGAGATAAAGACTTAAAAAAAAAAAAAAATTCTAATATTATTGCCTTGGATTCTATAGTAGAAGTTGGATTGTCAATTTTTGTTTTGCTTAAGAGATTTTTTTGCATTGTTTTCTCTCCAATATTTTTTTTAAATTAAAAATGCATCTTTTGTTAAACAATAGTCATTCCTTCCAAGCATTTACTGAGTTTTTAAATAAAAACAAATAAGCAGTTAGAACCTCTACGACAGTATATCTATGTATACAGAAGTGCTACAGAGAAATAAATCATTACATTAAATAGCAGTATTTTCTTGAAGTATAAATGTGATTTTAGGAACATAAAAATTGAAATATTTTAGAATCAAAATTTCAAATGTACACTGCAAAAAAATCAATTCTGCTACTGAAGTGAGTGAATAGTTCTTCAGCAAAGGAAAATTCTATTTACACACAGTATAAAATAACATGGCAGAGGAGATAAAAATATGCACTGCAAAATTATTGAACGGCATATTTAAGAAAAAAAATTCACAAATAGCAAAACTGTATAAATGTATTTTTTACATACAATAATGTTCTATAAAAATAGCTCATGCTTTATCCAACTTCAAACAGGAAGAGTAATGGAATGTACACATTGCTACATTGAATGCTATGAATACTATTTTACCTACATAGGGATCTGTTTAAACTGACTGTACTCTGGCTGAATTTGAGCAACACTAGGCTTTGATGGACAGTGCCAAATACATTCCGCAAAAGAGGACACAGACTTTTTCTTTTAGCCCTAGTGATACTTCCATCTTTTCTGGATTTGGCAACCTTTTCTCAAACACAGTTGAGATATGGGTCCCATCTACACACCTGCTTATGCTGGGACAAAAAGGAAAATGGAGGACACCTGGCAGGTTCCACTGAGGTAGAAATTTTGAAAGTGAAACAGTAGGAAAAAGAACCAGGAACAAAGATTTCCAGAGAGAATGTGGACAGCAGGTCAAGAAAGGAAAGGTTATAAATCTGTGAGTTAAGGTAGTTAAAAGCAAACGGAGAGAACGTAAAGAAGTCAGAACTGCAAAAAAGAGTTTGTACAAAGGGACTAAACATCAAGGGAGAGCAATTCATAAATCACTGAGGTGTGGTGGGCAAAAGCATCCATAAGCACCCAGTAGTCACAACTGGTAGAACTTGTTCTGACTTGAATAAAAATCCAGGAAGGAAATTAGAGACCCACCTGAAATAAGAGCCGTGGGTTGAACTGAGGAGAAACAGTAGAGAGTTTAAGAAACAGGAAGAGACAGTATGATGGTGGACAGGCAGATAAACTGAGGAAAAAAGGGTGAGAGAATTGGGACTATGTGGGATAAAAGAGCTGAGCAGCTACAGTTAGGGAAGATGAAGGGAAATGGTTGGGAAGAAGAGCCTCCACAGATAAGACTTGATCAGTTACAAGTGGTGTTTCCCAGGGGTCAGAACTGAGGCCTGTGCTGTTTATTATCTTTACTGACGCCCTGGACAAGGGGATTGAATGCACCCTCAGTTACTTTGCAGATGACGATGAGGTGGGAGGACGTGTTGATCTGCCTGGAGGTAGAATAGCCCTACAGAGGGGTTTGGACTGGCTGGCTGGGTAGCTGGGCTAAAGCCAGAGGGTTTAAGTTCAATAAGACCAACTGCCAAGTCCTTCACTTTGACCACAGCAATCCCAGGCAACAGGCTTGGAGCAGAGTAGCTGGAAGACTGTGCAGACAAAATGGATTTGAGGGTGTTGGTCAACGCTCAGCTAAACGTGAGCCAGCAGTGTGCCCAGGTGGCCAAGAAGACGAGTGGCATTTTAGCTTGTGTCAGAAATAGTGTTTGTTGCCAGCAGAAAAGAGGAGTACAGGACCCTCTGTACTCAGCACTTGTGAGGACACATTAATGATGCATCCTTTATGTCATATTACCTCCAAAAGATAAATAAAATAATATCCTTTTGGCTTGATCCTAATAGTATTTCATTTAGATAAACAAAATTTACTTTGCGTTTGCAACAGACTAAAATCATGCAAAAATTCAACTATGACATCCTAACTAGTAACTTAGTCTCAGCAATAAGATTGCTTCATTTTTTTGAACATTATTTACATACATGAAAATCTGTATTTAAGTTATTAAAAGTTCCTTATTGTAAGACAGAAATTTCACATAAAATAAGCTTAGAAAACACAAGAAAAAACAAATATTTCTTGTTCAGCCATGATTATCTGCTGGGTCTGAATCAAATCTAGACAAAGCCACAAAGGCTCTGTCAGACATAAGTTCAATTTAAGTATCTTCTTAAAATGATCTCTCTAAAATTTACTAGTTTAATCCCAACAACATAACAGAATTTAACAGCAGTATTGTTAAATAATAAACCATTTTTTTCTTTGTAGTAAATCATATCATGAATAAGATTTTATTTTTTTTTTAATTTATTTTTATTTTTATTTTATTTTTTAATATAGTGATAGTTCCATCAGTTTTACTTAAAACAAACAAAAAAAACCCCTTCAAACTGTATGATTAGATATGTATATTAGTTCTATGATTAATGTTCAGTAACATTCCTTCTGCCAGACAAATACTCATTAGGAATTTAGTTCTGAATGTGGTCTGGCCAGTAGTGAAATAAAGGAGTACCACAGGTAGTCATCTGACCTATCTGTCAGAGGCCCACCATCCCACCATCCTGAGGGATTTAAAAAAAAAAAAAAAAAAAAAAAAAGCTAAATCATGATTAACTGTTATTAATAATAACAGTACAATTAGTACTAATAATATCATGTGATTTCCCAGGGAGGTGTTCTAAAGCGCTAAAAGAAATCTTCCAGATTCAGTAATTGCACATTAAGATGTATATGCATATATGCATATATGAAGAATGCATCTCTGCTCAGTCTTTGCAGTTTGAAGAATTTTAGGTCAGTGTTTTACGTCAGCATGTGTTTTGTGTTTAGCTTAAAGACATAGTAACAATACCACTAGATTTTGATGGAAAGGAAAGGTAAGAGAGATGAGAAAGTTTCTTCTCTGATATCTATAGTACCTCACTTCAGAAAATATTAAATAATAATGCTGAACTGTGCAAAAATGTTGACATATGCAAGTATTGACATGTTTTCTATGTATATGCCCATTAGAATAAGATCTTTGCAGTGTTACATTAAACAATGTAATATGACACTTCCTGACATATTTGAGGGCTTAGCTTAAATTCATCCATGATATCTAGCTTAATTAATATTTTTTGAAATCCATTGAGTCAGATTTTTGTTATATACCCAAGTAGATAATGTGTGAAGTGGATGTTTCAAGAGGCCAAATTGAAGAGAGGAAGAAATTGTATGACAAAAACTCTCTTTTGAGTTACTCAATGGCATCCTCTGGAGTATGTCAAGATCAAAGCTTTGGATTGCATAACATAATATTATTGCTTTTCCCACTACCTAAAACAACTTTTCTAGTCAAAGTAGTTTACTACAGAGATTGCTGTGAAACAGCCAGTAAATTTTTCTTTGCTATGTAAGGCTAACAATAATAACTAATAAATAACTAACTAATAAATAATACTAATAACTAACTAATAAATAATATGATCCAGTATGTTATGCTCTTTCCAAAAGGATGTTCCACTTAAAGAAAACAGAAATTGTATTTGCATAAATTTGTTCTCAAAATGTGAGATTATTATTTTTAAAACGGCTCTATTGTTACTTATGCCTTCATTATGACAGCACTCAAGGACTCTCAATACAACTTACTGTGTCAGAGTCAACAACTGAAAAAAAGGCTTCCTTCATTCATTCTGTGGGTAATTTTACCCACAGAGGAGCTAAAAGCCTATATGGCTTTTATCAACTAAGCAGTCATGGTGCAAACCAATCCATCTGAATTTTATTCATCTTAAAGTTATGCATTTAGCCTGAGTTAATTATCTAGGCATCCTCTCTAATTAGTAGGAAGAGACAAACATATTAAGAGAATGATTCAACTCTTCTTAAGACTGATACAATGAAATGCTGAAAGTAATGTTCATTATCTTTTTCCAGAGAAGGAAGAGAGCCTAAAGACCTAATTTAGACGACGTGTATATAAAAGGAATAAAGATACATGAGATGTATCCCAACTTGATTATGGATTGTCTGTGTGTGCTCAGCATACAATAGGAGCAAAAAAAAAAAAGTTTTTCGTAGTACACAACCAATGTACTTTTCCATTAGTATGATGCGTTCTACTAACGGTACTAGTTTAACAGCTTATTACTTTATGTAATACCACTGACACCTGGGAACTAGGGACAATTCTTAATGAGTTTTAGCTGCAAAATTTTTCTTCAAGAGATGCACATAGCAATTTATCCTTTCCAGATTGTAAGGCAATCCTATGAATATTCTGTCCCAAGTCCCCTACTGTTTCATTATTCTTAATTAAAAAAATAAATAAATACAATTGTTTACGTCCAACTGCAAAGAGTGTTTTATAGGAGTATTGGTAATTCATTCTATGAATAAAGTCAGCTATAGCCAACCCTGTATTTAGGTTACATTCACAAGTGTAATCAGACAAATAAACTTTATCTCTGACAGACTTTTGACAGAATAGAAATTGCATTCCCTGCTGCTATCTGAGCCAGATGATATTTCAAGAGAGCTGTTGTCAGAGGCGACCAGCTGACTGATTGTGAGTGCAGTTTGATTGTGGTTCACAGCTTCTTCCCTGCTGCCTTCTTCCCTAAGGGCTACAGAGACACTGGGAAACCAAAGCAGCACAGGACCAGCCAGCCATTGCTAGGGCCTATTACCTCCATTCAGGCTAGAACTTATTACTTTCCCACAGAAAAATAGAGCACTTAAAGATTCTGACATGGCAGGAACCAGTCTGTGATTGTGTCTGGGTACTGTCTGGCAACTCGCATGGAAAAGTCATGCACCTTCCCAAAGGCCCAAATATCATGTCTCCCTGTCTCT